GAAGGGTTACCTTGTCAAACTGCCGAAGAAGGGAGACCTCAGTGCTTGCAAGAACTGGCGCGGAATCACTCTCCTGTCCACCCCAAGTAAAATATTAAGCCGCATCATCCTGGAGAGGCTTAAGGATGCACTGGATTCAAAACTACGACCGGAACAGGCAGGCTTCAGGAAGTACAAATCATGTGCAGACCAAATTGCAACGCTTCGTATCATCATAGAACAGAGCATAGAATGGCAATCAACTCTTCACCTCAACTTCATCGACTTTGAGAAGGCCTTTGACAGCGTCGACCGAGAAGTAATTTGGAAACTGCTTCAATACTACGGAGTACCGCAAACCTTTATCCGCCTCATTCAACAACTATATGAAGATGCTACATGCCAAGTAATCCACAATGGGAAGCTCAGTGATGCCTTTGAAGTGAAGACAGGAGTGAAACAAGGTTGCCTACTATCCCCCATGATATTCTTGATTGTGGTGGACTGGATCATGCAGCAAACAGTAGGCAGCGAGAAGAGGGGGATACACTGGACGACGGAAAAGAACCTAGAAGACTTGGATTTCGCCGATGACTTATGCCTAATGTCACATAAACTTGAAGATCTGCAGGCAAAAACTAACAAGTTGATAGAAGAGGCAGCTAAGACGGGACTTCAGGTGAATATAGAGAAGACAGAAGTGATGAAGATACCGCACCACCACCATCAACAACAACAACAAACTCCAATCACCGTCAACGGGAGAAACTTGAAGGAAGTAACCTCCTTCACTTATCTAGGAAGCACTGTTTCAACTACAGGCGGCACAGACGAGGACGTCAAAGTCAGAATCGGAAAAGCAAGACAGGCGTTCATTAGCCTGAAACCAGTGTGGAGATCTTCTGCACTCAGCATGCGGAACAAGATACGGATTTTCAACACCAACGTCAAGTCAGTGCTTCTGTATGGCTCAGAGACTTGGCGCGTCACGAAAGGCATTTCCAATAAACTACAGACATTCATCAACAACTGCTTACGCTCGCTGCTGAAGATCAGATGGCCAGAAAGAATAAGCAACAAGGAACTCTGGGAACGAACCAACCAAGAACCTATCACGCAACAAATATGCAGGAAGAAGTGGAGATGGATTGGCCATGCACTGAGAAGGCCGACTGAGGACATCACGCGTCAGGCCCTCGAGTGGAATCCCCATGGGAAGCGACGAGTTGGACGTCCGAGGGTGACATGGAGGAGGTCGTGCGAGCAGGAAATGAGAGCTTGTGGGCTGTCGTGGGACCAGGTTCAAAAGATCTCAGAGAACAGAGGTCACTGGAGGCGTGCTACTGAAGCCCTATGTTCCACTAGGAACCCAAGGGACTAATAATAATAATAATATAAATAAAAACATCTATGAGGTCAAAGTCCTTTCTATGCATTAATAGGCTGTGAACATCAATCTACATAGATGAAAGACCGCTGGCAGTCAACAGTTCGATTCGTCGGTACGTTCACCATCCTTTACTATTATTATTATGTTCATTTGTCCCTTGCGTTCCTCGTGGAACATAAGGCTTCAATAGCATGTCGTCACTTCACTCTCTTCTCTGAAGTCTTTTCAAACTCCCTCCACGACATCCCAGCCCTCATTTCTTACTCACACCATCTTCCCCGTGTCACCCTCACCTGGGACGCCAAACTCCTCGTTTCACATTTCAGTTCCACTCGAGGGCCTGACCTCGCATGTGATGTCCCTAATCGGTCTTCTCAGTGCATACCCAATCCAGCCACACTCTCTGCTTCTGCATATTTGTCGACAACTAGGTTCTTGGTTGGTTCATTGCTCGACCAGAGTTCCTTGTTGCTCATTCTTTCTGGCCATTCATCTGATCTTCAGTACCGAGTGAGTGTAGCTGGCAGCTGTTGATGGATGTCTGCAATTTGTTGGAAATGCTTTTCGTAACACGCCAACTCTCTCAACCATCACATAGAAGCACTGACTTGCTTGACTGACTTAGTGTTGGAAATCCGCATCTTGTTCTTTATGCTGCGTACAGTGCAGTAGATCTCCACACTGATTTCAGACTAGTGGAAGTCTGTCTTGCTTTTCCGATTCTGGCCTTGACATCCTTATCTGCGCCGCCACCTGTAGTTGAAACAATGCTGCCTAGATAAGTGAAAGAGACAACTTCCTTCACGTTTCTCCCGTTCACGGTGATTGGTACTTGTTGTTGATTGGGTATCTTCATCACCTCCGTCTTCTCCACATTCACTTGAAGTCCACTTTTCGCTGCCTCGCCTCCTCTGTCAACTTGCTGGGTTTTCCCCGTAGATCTTAAAGCTTGTGCGACAAGACATGAGACATAAATCATCATCGGCGAAATCCAAATCTTCTAGGGTCTTCTCATCGGTCCAGCGTATGCCTCACTTCTCACTCCTCACACTTTCTTGCATGATCCAATCAAGTCGACCACATTCAGGAAGATCATCGGTGATAGTAGGTGGCAACCTTGTCTTACTCCTGTCTTCACTTCAAAGGCGTCGCCGAGCTTCCCATTGTCAATCACTTGGTGTATAGCATCATATAGCACATAGCTGTTGAATGACCTTCATGAAGATTTGTGTCACTAAATCTAAGTGTTGAACCAACTGCTTGCCAAATTACTTATCCGTCGACGCTGTCGAAGGCCTTTTCAAAATCCATGAAGTTGAGGTAGAGAGTTGACTGCCATTCTATACTCTCTTCTATGATGATGCGTGGCGTAGCGTTGCAATTTCATCAGCACATGATTTGTACTTCCTGAATCCAGCCAGCCTGTTCTAGTCGTAGTTTTGAATCCAGAGCATTTTTCAGTCTCTCCAGGATGATGAGGGATACTATTTTGCTTGGTGTGGACAGGAGCAAGATTCCACGCCAGTTCTTGCAAAGACTTTGGTCTCCCTTCTCTGGGGGTTGACAAGGTAGCACTACTTCCAATCGAAAAGTACCTATCTTTCTTTCCTTCCAAACATTCTGCAATCGTAGTGTGAGCGTGTTCTCCCATGACTCTGCGTCTGTTTTCAGAGCTTCTGGAGGAATCCCATCTGGTTCTGATGCTTTCTTACATTTCAGTAGCTTTATGACATTCAGGACTTCGACTTTCGTCGAAGGGCTTGTGTTTACTGGTAGTTCTGTGGCTGGGCTGCTAGTGGTATTCTGGGGAAGTGCAGGTGGTGGTAGATTCAAGAGCTTTTTTGAAGTGGTCAGCCCAACAGTTCCTTTGCTTCTCCTCTTTGGTAGTGAGATTTCCTTCATCATCTTTTATTGGTTTCTTCTGTGTTGGTCTCTCCCCTCTCAGATAGCAATCTGGTTATGTGATACGTTGTCAGGTCTCTCTTACCTGTGGCCTGTTCTGCTTCACTTGCAAGTGTGTCGTACAATTGTCTTTTGTCGTTCTATGCATTCTTCTTCACTTCTTTATGCAGTCTAGTGTTTTATAGGTTATGTTCAGTTCCTCTTTTCGTTGTTCATCCTTGCACTGGTTTGTCTTCTGCTTCACCATCCTCCTCTCCTCTATCAGCTTCCATGTGTCCTTAGAGATCCATTCCTTGTCTTGGCGACTCTTCTTCCTTCCCAATACAGTTATGCAGATTTCTTTCCACATCTCTTTCAACTACCCTTTACTAACGATCCAAAATACTCCTTTATTGTCCAAATCAAGCAGACCTCAGTTTGACGCACTGCAATGGTGACCGATATGAACCGTGATAATATGATAAATAAGGCAGACAGGTTTCCAATGTATGCTCAAAATAAGGGTGTCTATTAGTAAAAAGTCAATATTTCTGTCGAACAAATGTTATTCCTATGAATTAAAGAGGTTACGATAACCATGTTTCATACTACTTTCAAGTGACCTGTTCAACCAGCAAACCAAGGAGTGAGAATAAGTTATAACTTCTTTTGATCAATATCTTTAATCTCGAATACAGAAAAGTAAAACTACGTCATCATTAATATAACATCCTGAGTAAAAAGCCTACCCTCATACAATTTTCACGAGGTCGTATAGATTAGTGAAGAACTATTTCAGCGAGTGAACTAATCTGATAACTAGACCTCTACTACTGTTCATACTCCTATGAAATATAACCCTTTCACAATTTCAGAAATCACCAGTAATTAGCATGAAAGCGCTTTTTCGTTTGAAAATAATATCAAAATTAAGATCAATATAGGGTCAGGCATTGCTGCATAACTGTCCAAGTTGCCATGCCTCATGACAGCACATCAAGTATCAAGGCAATAAAATGAAAAGTGAAGAAAAAGTCGATCAAAATAAGTAGTAAATGAGAGGAAGGAGGAATGAGAAAATGATGAAATTAGGTATAGCAGTTAAGATGAAGATAATGTGTGCATGCATCTGTGCCACTAACATCGGTTCCCAGCTATATCACCTAAAGTCTCCAACCACTGGTTTCTCTTGTCTTGCGGACCCCAACCAGCTAATCTGCATCGCTCTGTATGGCTCGAACCGACAGTCAAGGACTTTATGCATTGATACCACGTTTTAGTCCAGCCTGAACCTATTTCAGGCAACATGGTGTGAGTAGGTAGACGGTGGCTAGGCATACGTAACACATGTCCCAACCATCTCAGCCGACAAAGGTTCACAACTGTTTCACCTCTCCTCCCTAAAACTCTATACCTGATTTCCACATTATTCACGTAGTGACACCACGAAATACGGCCTATGCCACGAAGGCAACGGTGTTCAGAGACCTGAAGCCTCATGTCTTTTACCTTTAACGCCCATGTTTCAAAACCATACAGTAGAACGGAGTGGACTGCAGCACAGTACATTCGACCCTTAATAGACAACCGGATATCGCGGCAGCGCTACAGATGGCGTAGATTGGCAAAAGCCAACCGAGCCTTTTGTATCCTCGGGGTTAATCGAATTGCCAAAATAAGTGAATTGTTCAACGCGCTCAACCACTTCACTCTATATTGTTCACACAGCACCAGTAAGAACACGAATCATAATCGGACAAGGACCAAATGTATGCAAAAATAGTACCCAATGATGATTAGGATTCTTTACCACTAAATAGCTTTTTTAATGACACATACGTTAACATATCAATCTGGTAGATTACAAACTGAAATTAAAAACAGAAAAAAAAATGCACTGGAGATAAGAAAAATCTAGAAGATTGTTGAGTACGGTTTCAGTTTCATTTGGCTTCTTATATCCACCCGGTGTACCAGTATTGCTTTTACGTTTACGATCAGATGAAGAAGTGGTTGAAGACTTTTTATTATTTTTATTAGTGACTGTTGGAGTTGAAGGCTACAATTTTAAGAAACAATAATCAAGTATAAATCATGTGGATATATTTTTTTTCTTCTACCCAAATACAACTAAAAAAGGTATCTGAAACTAATTTCTCATGGATAGCTAAGATCAAATACACAACCACCTATAAATGTATTAGTCCAATGCTGACCAAATCTGAAATGAAACACTAAGTAAACAATACCGTATTAATAAAATGCAACAAGGAGAGCTATATCCAAGTAAATGAACAACATTTGTATTCATTTTGAAAAACATAGAAATAAAACTGTCCACATATCGAAATCTAGCCCAAGTACTTTACGACATAACTAAGGGATTTGAAAGCACAAAGTTTCCATACTACAAAATTAAATTAAGATATTTTATCAGTGTAAATAAGGTTAATAGAGGTAAGTGAATCAAACTGAACCTTTTTCCTTCAATTAACTCTCAAATAAGTACATCCAATAAACCGGAAAATAAAAGAAACTTAAAATACTACAAGTTACAAATCCTACCGAAAATTTTTGTACTTCATTATTGTCTTGAAACTGATATCATTAATAGTCATGTGGGATGAATTTCGAAGTTAACAAAGTTAAGAATCACCAAAACAACAATGTTAAAAATAATTCATACAAAAAAATAAAAATCCTATAAGTAGCACTCACATTATTTTTAGATGGCATGCTAGTAAAGAAGTTGTCTATTCGACCTTGAGTAGTTGTGTTTTTAGCCTTTAATAACTTTTTCGCACCATTACGTATACGCTCTTCACTTTTAACAATTAAACAACAACAACAAATCAAACAAAATACTAAGGGACAATGTATACAAAAAACAAACCACTATAATATAAGATGACGTACACATGTTAGTAAATTACGCCTAGCACGAAGTTCTGACTTGTGGATCAGTAGATGGTGATGGTAACTCCACAACCTAATAATATGCACTACATCCGGCTTGAAAGTAATGAATTACTCCGAGGCAAACCACAGCTGCCTCACTCCAGCTATGTATGCATATCTACTTTATATGATAATCATGAAAAAACATATAATGTGCAATTATAAAATGGAACTGAATTACAAAATAGTGTAGGTAATCTAATTATTTAGGATATCCAGATGAGTCCTATCGAAATTTTATTTCAATGCTTTCTTCACACTTTTTCTTTTCATTTTTTAGGTATATATATACTCTGACATACAGTACTATTTGCGACAAAAACACCCTGGTTTGACCGAGATTGCAAAGAACCCAGTTGTGCAATGTTAGCTGAAGTGGGTTTAAGCTGGGAATATATAGGATGTAGTCAGACTAAAACGTGGCATAAGTCTACGAAGTTTCTGATTGGTCTGAGTTGCGTAGGTAATTGTAAACTTCGTGAGTGGAGTACTAGTGACAATCAAAATCGATCATTGCAGACTGTATGCGATATGGTTCAGAAGCGATTTGTGGTGCATGTACACTCTCACACTCTTCTAAATCACTAACCTGAATTTCATTAATTTTGCCTTCCTTTTTGTCGTCTTTTTGCAAATTCCCACTACTATTCGACTTCCCCATCTTTCTCTTTTCCTCCTACTTTGACATACTGATATGAAATGTGGAAAACTTGAACATCACGCAGAAATGTCAGGTCCCATATTGATGCCGATTCATTGACTGTACTTGGTTGGTTTCTAAGAATGTTCGTGTACGGTTGTGAGTTAATAGCCTCTCTCAAGGAAATCCTACTAACTATCTTTATATGATGTAATTATCTTCACAAAAGTGGAAAATTCAGGGTTTAGAACGAGATTGGTGAACACCAATGTTTTATTTATCTAGCGTCAGCAATCTAAGAGTAGAATAGATATAGCTCAGAATAGAAGTCAGCGCAGATTACGCTGTAGCCTTTTGGCTTCTATAAATGCCTGCTTGACACATTCTGTAAACATAAAATAATGCTCATAAACTATAATAGTAAATGAAACAACTTTAAAACGGCCATTAAAAATTAACAGACAGCTGAAACAGAAGAACCACCTAGAATTGTTCCAAAGTAAACTCACTTAAATCCATGTTTATGACAGAGAAATTCTACCAAACCTTCTTCATCCGGTTCATTCCATTTCAGCTTTACAAAATTAAAACAATGCACAAGTGTACAGAATTACGCCACAATAGTTAAACGAATACAACAACGTTGAAAAACGAAAGTCACAACGAAGACGGAATTGGTTCCGTCAAACACTTTCTTACCCGATAAATGAATTGTGAGAAGTGTAGACACATGGGAAATGTAAATAGCAAATCATCACTGAATACTTGAACTAATGCTAAAAAGAAAGGGAAGGGATGTGAGATTATAGCGCATGCTATAAATAGTATACATACTTACACGACACCTCTGCGTTCGTTAGACTGTCACCATAGATAACCTAACAATCATCTGCTCTGAGACACTTCAACGTAATCATCGCGTTAAGCTTTATTGTACAGCTGCAAGTAACATTCATTGTGTATACTACTCAGTACTTAGTAGGTAGGGAGTGATTTTACTTCCTGTAGTGATGGTCTCTATTAATGAGTCGAGTCGGGAATCAACTAGGAATTTGTTGAACGTTGGTGATTGACATTCGATATCCGTGCATCGTCTGCGGCCATAGCACACAGGAGTTTCCAAATCATAATAGTGGTGATGGAAATGGGATACTAGGAATTGGATTCTTCGAAGTTGGACAATTTCCTCAAACAACAAATGAGGATTATCGAAATTTCTGATGCTGAATCACCACCTACTACGCCAGTCTTACTAGCTCCTTCAGTTGACTCCATCGCCATCACTGAATTTCACTCGATAGTTGGTTCAGGCGTTACGAAGACAACTTTAAAGTGGATTTTGCTGGCCAAGATGATTCCTGGAAAGTACGTTTCCTACTTCGAAAGCTTGGTCCACCTGAGCTAAACCAAAACTGCGGCATGAATACTCCGCAGAACTCACATGATCGCACTTTTGGCGCCACAGTCCATACACCGAATGACATGTCTGCAGAATATCAACGACTGGGTAACCTGCAGCGTGATACGAGTCCAACCCAATTCGGACACAAGGGAGGTTCTGAAGTACATACAATTGGCCAGACATCTTCATTCCTCTCCATCACATTCTGGCCACACATACCCTGGACTTGTCTCGCCAGTTCATCAGCCCAGTAACTCATGCGATACCAACCGACCCTCGAAGAAGATACCTCCAGCAGCTTCCTGGCACTGTGGTGCCATGCATTCCGTTCAATCTTGTCCATCTAAACAACATCGATGCCTGGACTGCAATGTTGCAGGTCATACGGATGGTTTAACTGCCAACACACAACGACGTGTACAAAGGTCATCAGCAAGATACCGCTGCAGGTCCCATATTCGACCGGTAAGCAAATCTCTTGGCTTGACAGCTGACTACCATGCTCATGTACCTGACCGCCAAGACAATATTGAGAAAATGACTGATCCCCCAGTAAACAAGGTGAAACTCACTCTGGGTCGGCCAGATATTTCAAGCTAATATTTTTCCCTTGGGTTACTAGTGGAACATAAGGCTTCAATAGCATGTCGTCACTTCACTCTCTTCTCTGAAGTCTTTTCAAACTCCCTCCACGACATCCCAGCCCTCATTTCTTACTCACACCATCTTCCCCGTGTCACCCTCACCTGGGACGCCAAACTCCTCGTTTCACATTTCAGTTCCACTCGAGGGCCTGACCTCGCATGTGATGTCCCTAATCGGTCTTCTCAGTGCATACCCAATCCAGCCACACTCTCTGCTTCTGCATATTTGTCGACAACTAGGTTCTTGGTTGGTTCATTGCTCGACCAGAGTTCCTTGTTGCTCATTCTTTCTGGCCATTCATCTGATCTTCAGTACCGAGTGAGTGTAGCTGGCAGCTGTTGATGGATGTCTGCAATTTGTTGGAAATGCTTTTCGTAACACGCCAACTCTCTCAACCATCACATAGAAGCACTGACTTGCTTGACTGACTTAGTGTTGGAAATCCGCATCTTGTTCTTTATGCTGCGTACAGTGCAGTAGATCTCCACACTGATTTCAGACTAGTGGAAGTCTGTCTTGCTTTTCCGATTCTGGCCTTGACATCCTTATCTGCGCCGCCACCTGTAGTTGAAACAATGCTGCCTAGATAAGTGAAAGAGACAACTTCCTTCACGTTTCTCCCGTTCACGGTGATTGGTACTTGTTGTTGATTGGGTATCTTCATCACCTCCGTCTTCTCCACATTCACTTGAAGTCCACTTTTCGCTGCCTCGCCTCCTCTGTCAACTTGCTGGGTTTTCCCCGTAGATCTTAAAGCTTGTGCGACAAGACATGAGACATAAATCATCATCGGCGAAATCCAAATCTTCTAGGGTCTTCTCATCGGTCCAGCGTATGCCTCACTTCTCACTCCTCACACTTTCTTGCATGATCCAATCAAGTCGACCACATTCAGGAAGATCATCGGTGATAGTAGGTGGCAACCTTGTCTTACTCCTGTCTTCACTTCAAAGGCGTCGCCGAGCTTCCCATTGTCAATCACTTGGTGTATAGCATCATATAGCACATAGCTGTTGAATGACCTTCATGAAGATTTGTGTCACTAAATCTAAGTGTTGAACCAACTGCTTGCCAAATTACTTATCCGTCGACGCTGTCGAAGGCCTTTTCAAAATCCATGAAGTTGAGGTAGAGAGTTGACTGCCATTCTATACTCTCTTCTATGATGATGCGTGGCGTAGCGTTGCAATTTCATCAGCACATGATTTGTACTTCCTGAATCCAGCCAGCCTGTTCTAGTCGTAGTTTTGAATCCAGAGCATTTTTCAGTCTCTCCAGGATGATGAGGGATACTATTTTGCTTGGTGTGGACAGGAGCAAGATTCCACGCCAGTTCTTGCAAAGACTTTGGTCTCCCTTCTCTGGGGGTTTGACAAGGTAGCACTACTTCCAATCGAAAAGTACCTATCTTTCTTTCCTTCCAAACATTCTGCAATCGTAGTGTGAGCGTGTTCTCCCATGACTCTGCGTCTGTTTTCAGAGCTTCTGGAGGAATTCCATCTGGTCCTGCGGCTTTTCAGGCGTTCAGGACTTCACTCCTGCTTTTGTCGGAGGGCTTGTGTTTACTGGTAGTTCCGTGACTGGGCTGCAAGCGTGTCGTACAATTGTCTTTTGACGTTCGACGCACTCTTCTTCACTTCTTAATTCAGTGTTTTATACGATGTACACAGTTACCCTTTTTGTTGTCCATCCAACACCCAAACCCAATGGTTCACTCTCTCCCTAACCATCATCCTCTCACTCCGTCTAGTGTTGGGAACACGGCGTTCTTTTTCAGTGTTTCCGCCTGACAATGAAATGTACCCTGCCACCTTGTGCCCATCTCTTCAGTAGGCAATGAGCCACACCTGTTCTGTGAGGGCTTATGATGCTACCACCTGGCTGTCAAAACCTCAGTAGGTAGAGCAGGGTTAGGACCCATGACACACTGGTTGAACCAGTGAGCAACAGCTTACACTCGATAAGACTATATCGTCTGTCTCTTCCAAGGTAACTGGAGATACCTCGCTGAAGATACTGACCGTAGATTTTGACACGACCATGAGGGTTCAACTATGGATCTTCCAGTTACATGTGCTTATTAAGTACTAGTTACAATTAGAGGCGCTACCACAGGATCTCTCCATCGAAAGAGTCAAACATGCCAAATGAAATACACCTAATGCCAGTCACCAGTTATCAGGTCCTCCTGTTCTTAGGTTTACTAATCTTGAGCTATACTTGGGCATCGGTTGAGACAAAACTCAGCATCTTTAAGATTTGCTGGTCAGACAACGTCTCCGCCATGGTCATCATAGGATCTTACCTTTATATTGAGGCTTGAAACAATCAAATTATCTTTTCGTTTACTCCAGCAGGCCACGTATGCTGGCTGACTGACAAAACCGAAGTAGAACTGCACACACAAGTGCGTCGGCTCAAGTCGCAACACTTCACAGTAGTAGACAAAGAGAACATGTGCGTAGAAAAAGACTGATATCAAATTAAACAAAGCTGTATGAAAAAATAAACAATCTGAAGGTAAAGTTTAATGCGAATATTAAAGCTCTAGATGTCAACGAGTAAATACATCCGCGATATTTTCACCGATCTTGAGCCACGTCACCGGGAGTCCTCAACCACTGATGACCCTACTGTCTCATGGACCCCAATCAGGTAGTCTACAGTGACCGGTGTGCCGTCTTGATCTTGTCACCCTGTCTTCTTTCTTCCAACCTAATCCAGTATCACCTAGCATAGCACGTCGACGTACGTGGTGGCTCGGCATTCGCGGTACATCTCAACCGACTACGGTTCACAACTTCGTCAGTCAACTTGCCTATCTTACCAGAACTTCTGCTTTTGTCGGAGGTTCTGTGTTCACTGGTAGTTCTGCCATTGCTGGTGGTATTTCTGGACGAGTTTCAGGTGGCGGTGGTGGTCGATTCAAGAGCTTCTTGAAGTGATCGGCCCATTGTTTCTTTTGATCCTCTTTGGTTTCAAGCTTTCCTGAACTATCTTCCATTCAGCGTTGATCTCTTCCTGGATGGTAATCTGCTTTTCGGTATAATGTCCTCAGGTCTCTCCTACCTGCAATCTGTGCTTCTCACTTCCAAGTGTGTCGTACAAGTGTCTCTTGTCTTTGCGTGCACGCTTCTTCAGCTCCTTGACCAGTGTAGTTTTTTTATACGTTTTACTCAGTTCCTCTTTTGTCATGCATCCTTGCACCAATTGTCCTCTGCTTCATCATCATCTTCTCACTCCTCTATCAGCCTCCATATGTCCGTCCAGATCCACTCCTTGCCTTCTTTTTTCTTCCTCCTTCTTAACACGGCTATGCAGGTTTCCTGACACGTCGCTTTCACAGAGTTCCACTATTCTTCCACCCAGCTTTACTCACAGATGTTGCTTAATGTCTCCCATCTATTCCTCATGAATGACTGACTGACGTGAAGATGTCTTTTGTAGTTTCGTCCTTCAGTTCACCCCCTGTTCTGGGTGTTCAACTTGAACTGTTGTCTATCACCAGCTTCTTTTTTGGAGGTTTTCGACTTGATTCTGAATCTTCCTCCAACTAGACAGTGACTGGTCTCAACCTACATCTGCTTCTCTTCATCTCATCTTGCATCCAGTAGACTGCTTCTCCACTTTCTTCACATTGAAATAAAGTCGATCTGATCTTTAGTGTAGTGTGTCCATCTGGTGTCTGGTGAAATCAAATCCATATCGCTCCTATGTGAATATCCTTGTGTTTGTACACACTGCCGCCAATCACCAAATCATTAAAGGCACAGAAGCCTGCAAACAGTTCTCCATTCTCGTTCATCACTTCACCGAGTGCTTCTCAATCCATCATGTGTTCTCTTCCTGTTGTGTCTGCTCCCAGTTTCGCCTTCATGTCACCCCACTCATTAGAATTTGGATGTCGCCAACTACGGTGGGGTCTTGTCTAGTACTGATTGCAGTTATCTATAGAATTCCTCCTTCTTCTCCTCGTCTGCATTACTTGTAGGTGCGTAGTGTAGCGTAGCATTGTAAAATCGCGACTTTCCTACCTTCTGAGTTGAACCTTGCTGTCATGAGCCTGATCTTTGAGTAGATTGGTTCACACTGCATCACAGACAACCTTCGATGGTCTCGGAGACATCATGATAGCCACTCCAAAACTCAGTGTGCTCGTGGTTGTCGTCTGAGTGACAATATGGGAGTAGACTATTGACTCTCCTCTCCAGTTGCCAGTTTAGAGAGTCCACTTCCATTCCATCTGCAGATTTCTCGCACATTCCTAGCACTTCTATGCCATATCTTCTCATTTCCTTTGCAATCTGGACAGCCTTGCCAGACGGTTTCAAACATTGTATGGACATTCCATGTCCCCATGTTTACTTTTGCTTTCATCGAGAGAAGACGCATCGGCCAATCGGCTTACCGAAGGCTTTCACCAACCGGTATGATTTCGCCTCTCCGATTCCAGTGAAGAAAAAGTTTAATTTTATTTTTTGTATTTTCTTTGTGCTTTGAAGTTTCTTTAACGGTTAGATTGATTTTAAGGGGCAGGGTTGCTAGCCGTGTGCCCAAACTTCCCTCTATATTCTGGCTTGGAGCGACTAGTAACTAGGGTACTAATTACCTAGGCGAGGTTGCATCGGTCAGATAGATGCAAGAAAAAGACATTACGGCCCAGTCTGACTCCATATAACATTCTTTTGAAGAGGGAGGTGATAAGGAGATAGAGAGAAATGACTGGTTTGGAGAGGGCTCAATCAAAATGTACTTTATGTTATCATTTCTATAGTTAGACAGACAGACGGTAGATCATTTTATCAATAGGACTATCTTAAATAGATAAAGAATATTTATATATTAGCTGTATTTCCTGTTTTGGTCTCCCGTGATTCTGCCCCAATAAACTTTTGCACACGTCAATCGTATATTCTCCACTAATTAGTTGGGTCGAGAATCAACTGGGAATTTGTTGAACGTTGGTGGCTGACACTCGATATCCGTGCATTGTTAGCAGTCATAGCACATAGCAGATTCGAATTCATAACAGAAGGATTGAATCCTTATTATAATCAACAACAGGCTGGTATCTGCTTAACAAGAATTTAATTTTGTCTTGAGATAACACAATCATTAGTATTTACCTGTCTATTTTGTTGGTTCGGATTCGGATTTAGTCACACGAAGTAACTACAACCTCAAAAATTAAATATTTCCAAAGACAACAGTCTATCATTCACTTATTTCGGCAGGAATTCACTTTTATGATATGACCGACACGGTTATTCGTACCATGTATCAATCCAAATAGAGATTAGTCCTTGGTTGTATTGTTTTCTCTGAGCTGGGCTGTTTAATCGTGAAGCTCTCATCGTCTTTCTAGACGACATCATCAGCACTAACTTCAGTATGAAGTGAGCTGTCAATATTTCTCCGTGAGTGATTTAGTGGCCTGCTCTGACGATGTGGTCTGTGGTTGGTTGTTTCCCTCGACTGTTGTCATTGATTGTATAGACTTTCCTGCTGGCTGTTCCTGTGCTTGACCTCTAACTTTTCTGTCGTTTATCTTTTTTTTATTGGTTGATAGATCGGGTCTATGTCTATACATCTGTGATTGCTGACTGACCTGAATGCCAAGCTTCCAGGAATTCCATGACATTGTGTTTCCTCTGTCCAAAATTTCTACATTGTCCACCTGAGTTACAAATATTCGCCATTATTTCAGAGATTAGTCCTCCAATGAAAACAGTTCGTAGGTGATCATTTGCAGTGTTAATCCAGTAATATTCTAGGGTGTTTGTTTGGTAAGGTCTAAATAATAAAGCTAATAGTTAGTGGAACGTTGCTAACAAGGGATGAGTAAAGTAGGAGAACAATAATTGGATTAACAGTCACAAGACTTGTTATTAAAACTACAAACTAACCGCTAAGTAATACATACACATCAATGAATCCACCACGAAACGACAATAGGTCGTAAAAACTAATGGATACTATCTCCTACTAATTTGACATAACATTCCACATTTTAACGATAGTGCAGCATATAAATGCATAAATAATTTTCCTTGTTAACAATATACCTCAATAGTTGAAGGATCTGTGACATCCGGATTCAAAAAAAGCTTTTTAGCATCTTCGTATGGCCAATCATCTGGAACAGGATACTTAGACTTGTCGATGTTTTTCAAAACACAATCTATCGATTGATGTTTGTGCAACAAGTCTAATGCTTTCTTGGGACCAATGCCGCGTATAGTGTCAACATAATCACACCCAAGTAATATGCATAAATCTATGAACTGGTCCATAGTTAAACCAAGACCTTCGAGAACTGATGCCAAATTGAATTCTTGTATGGCCATCTTTCTGAATAAAAAAGAACCAGTGTTTAATTTATCAAAAAATGCACGACCAAGATATAGCTGTTGTCAAAATAAAAAGATAACACTTATGTGCATCACAAGTTGTACTTCCCTTTGTCTATGGATATAGGCTTAAACCTATACCATCTGGCTTTATTATGAGCTCTAAATTAGCATCTCAAGCCCTTGTACATTAGGTTGTGTGAATGATAAGCAGACAAAAACCTTGCTCCACCTTCCTGTTTTTCATCAACTTAAACCACATGAGAAAAACAAATTGATGACATAAGATGTACCTCAAGTCCATCAATGAGAATAAGCGTGAGGGAAAATAAGTAATAACAAACACATTATTGATTTTCCAAAGAGTACAGCCCCAGGAGTATTTTTACGCCCAACTTTGACCATTTTGAGTTGTTTTACTTTTATAATCACCCATAACTAGTCATCTACTGTCACTACAATACAAACATCAAGGTGGGAAAGTGGGAAGATAAGCACAAATGCAGTGACAGATTAACTCACTGTAGAACATCATACAGAAGTGCTTCGGGTCAAGTTACCACACTTCCCAGTAGCATCCAGAAAACAAGTGGATGGAAAAAAGTGTGATTTTAAAGTAGACAAGGGGACACGGAAAAAGAATAGTAATTTCAAAACCAAGATAAGCGAAAAGGTTCAGATTTTAGTATATGTCAAAGAGTGAATGCATCTGCACCATTATGAACAATTTTGAGTAGTGTCATTTAGGTTCTCCAACTAGGCATGCTAAACCTCTCCCCACATGGCTCAGAGCAGATACAGTAGGTGAAATGTCGACAAATTGACCTCTTATTTGGTTAGCAAATGAACTAGACAGCAGTAACTACTACAGATTTCCTCCTATGTACATCACTAGATCCAATAAATCAGCTTGTGTTGACGTAACATATTTCAGTGACTTTCAAAAACCTACCACCTTAATGACAAAAGCGAGGTAAAAAAGTCTACTATAAGGCTTAAATAAATTGCACACTAGTTGACTGCGATCAGCAGCTACAAAGCATGAGATTACGAATATCTAGTTAGTATAGGAGTAAAACTTGAGCATTGTAGTAGAATGTAATTCCATTTCAGTTGATTTATTAGATGTATCACACAGTGGAACAGTATTATTTACTGGATTATACGTCGAACACAATTTATTGTCCATAGTCATATCAAGATAACTCCATAACTATATGATACAATTAGTAAATCAACTGAAATGGAATAAAATTTAATTAAGCATACTGTGTAAGAAACCCTAAGGTTATATTTAGATGTAAATCAGCTAGTGAAGTGCTGAGATAGCAGTTACTGTCGTATACAAGAAATGGGTTACAGATGAGCAGTTACTGCTTAATTTGAAGTGTTAGGTTAGCTTGACGGTGGTGTAGTTGATTCAAAACACGGGGCTAATTAATGAAGTTCCCGATAACTGGTGTTAATTTTATACGTGATTACACATGCAAGAATCGTGTCTTCCGGTTTGTCTACAATAAGACGTTATTTGTTATGAGTCTAACTACTTTATTTTTGATCTCTGTGGTATAGTAGGACATTAAAAAATTCACTTCATTTAGCACACCCCACTAGGTTATAACAAAATGCAGACTAAGACACATCATGGTAGTAGTTTTCGGCATAGCCGTAGGTATACACGGATGTAACACAATGACAAAGTGTATTTCGATGGTCAAAATTATTTACCTGGCCTCGCTGAATGTTAAGTGTCGGAGTAGAACTGGAGTACCGAATGCTAATGCATCCATATCTTCAGTCCCGACAGCATAAACCTTTCCAGATTTTGCCAATGCTGCACATTGCGCTTCCGCCTCTCCAGGTGCCTGGAATAAGCAAATCAGTATCGCAAGTATATAAGCATACATGAAAAGTTAAAAAAAGACCCACTCAAGTCAGGAAAGTTGATTAATGTGAGGTAGGTCGCTGGATCACAAACGAATTATAAAGGGAAAATTAGTTTCCAAAGATACTGCAACTCTAAACCACTTAAAAACTTAAAACCCTGATATATCAGTTGATATAACAATCAGAAATCTCTGTGTTTTTCACGTCCTTATTTCTTCAAATTACTTTGAGTGCAAAGAATACCAATGTGCCAATGCATTTCATCTGTTTGCTGATATGAGTGGCAACCACTCAAGTTCACTTCCAGTTCATTTGTCCTCCTCCTTGAATGTCATTGAACGGCTGAGAGTGGGCAGAATTTATTTATCCACTCATATATACAGCTATACGTTCATAATTTTCGCAAGAACAGTCTTAGTTTACTGCCTTCCCCGAGTGTTCTCATGAAAATGGAAGGATGAATCGAATGCTCATGCGGTAATTCCAGTGAAAACTAGCTTTCAATAGTCATATTTCACAGCCGTTTAATACAACAAATCAAACTGCAGTGCAGTATGCTCATCTTCTAATAGGTAGTTGTTCATCTTACCAGCGCCAGAGATGACATAAGTTAGCTAATGCCGAATGAAAATTTTGTATCCAAGCAGAGATTAAATCAGCAACCAACAAATTTGGCCTAATGCAACACCTAAGTAAGTGAAGTATTCAACACCTAACACTACTTCACTCCCTATCTCTAAAATGGGAGTAGCTGCAGACGAGTCCTGAAACATTATTTTACTCTTGACAGGTGCAAAATGCATGCCAAATATACTCAGCTTTCTGCTCAAGATGTTCATTAGCGTCTTCATCCAACATGGAAATATTGTTTGAGTGCTCCCTAACCAATCAGGAAGTAGGTCAATCCCTATCAAGTCAGAGGCACCTATGGTTATGTACATTAGTATGTCCACAACAGAGTTAAACAGGAACTGTGACACCAGGCATCCACGGTGGACACCGCTGGTTGTTGTCAATCCAAATGACAACTCTTTATAAGCTCTTACATGGAAGGTATGAGTCTTAGTAGTAAGCCTCAAGTAGCACAACGTACTAGCTTGGTACTCACTTTACAGTCAGAGACTGCCATCACGATTCTCCGTCGACGAGTCAAACGCTACCTCCAGGTCAAACAACATGGCAAACGACCACCGCCGATAACTAGAGGACCTACCAAAAAGAGAAGATTTGATCGATGCTTTTTTGTGTAGGTCTGAAACCTACCTATTTCTTTCAGGTTTGTTGTTGCGGAGTTCTAGTTAAGCTTATAAGCTAGAATGATCAGTGAACTAAACCAGTCTGACAGAACTACCTTTCATTCCCACAAACTAACTAGTATCTCGACAACTTTGCTACTTAATTTTATACTCAAAATCTCCACGTGCCAAACCGATAGATCCTTCTGCTTAGCATCCTTTCACATTTCAAACAATAGATTTGGAGGACTGACATCAAAGCATCACTCAGGTACCGGCTGAATACTGGGCAACTCAAGCGTCACTGTAGGCCTATTGAATTCGTCTTCATACTGTTCTACCCAACGTTTTAGCAGCCTGTCCTTAGACGTTATCACGTACTCATCTTTTTCCCTTTATAATCTAACAAACCATCATATTTTTTTGACAGCGTACTTAATAAGTTTAAATAACTGTCAAGCACCACCTAGTGCTGATGCCTACTCGATCTCTTTCGGCTTCAACACACATCACTTCTCGTAATCATTGAGAGGACTCTTGGACAACTTACTTTCAAAGAGATTTTGCTCTTCATCGTGGTCAGAGGCAGCTGCAATGAGTCTTTTCGCATCAGGCGGCTCAGATGATGTTGCAGAAGTTCACTGGTTTTCGTTAACATTTCGAGGTTGCTATTTGTACATTAGACTGAATATTACGCCACACTGATTAATCTTAAAAACAAAATCATGTTTTTTCTTGACGTGAATTCTTTGTTTGTTAATATATCTTCGATGAAAAGGATCACTGCTGATTCCGCCTTCTCACTTAAAGCAGCCTTTTTTCTCGTACCAGTAATGTTAGACTTACATTTTAGAGTAGACATTTTCACCAGACCGATGGTATGGTTTCGGGATATCTTTTAAGTTCCTAGTTTGTAACATATCGAAAGTCTGGTTGATAATCCAACCGCAAAAGTTCCTTTTTACAAAAGATACGTAGAGGGCATAATAATTAGATGTCATAAGCCGGAAAATGTCTCATTGATTCTCATTCGAACGAATTAAGTAAATAGTACCATATCTTTAACATGTGAGAAATAAAAAGATAACTGTCCACCATTCTGAGATATTCTTATAACTTGTCGCATCAAGAGTACGACCCATCTGTAAGAAGTCTAATTAGACAGGATAACTACTTAAATTACCATGGTTTCTGTTCACTTCAGTATCAACGAGGTATTATTCAATTGTCCGTTCATTAGTGATACTTTAGAGGAGGGAACACAAAAGCTCATCAGATGATATGTATCTTCTAAGATTTGTTAATTATAGTAGAAATGTTGAGCCAAAGGCAACCATTATTCAGTCAAATCAAAATATGTGTAAATATATATCATGCTACTAGATATCAGTGATTCACATGTGGTCACATACATATAGTGAATCTATAGATCTGTGCAAGTAACAGCCAGAAAATATATTCCAAAATGGCTGGCAGCAACAAATGAAATTGAAGGATTCTACTGACTTCATCTACCGGTGAACATATTGATGAAACAAGCCAGGGGACTAATCTTCATACATCTTGCAAATCTACTTACAAAACCTGTTGCGAACATATACTCAGGTTTGCTAAAACTCCAGCTATGAAGATCCACACACCCCTTTCAAGTATTCAAAAACAATTTTTCGTTACACGAAACCACCCTAGGTAATTCAACTTCAGTATCGAAAGTGGTTACTGTAAAATGACTAGGTTGTTCGACATATAGTGCGCTTACAAATCGCAAGTTCCAGATGATTAAATTCCTGCTTTGTAAAAAAAAATAATAACGGAATGTCTGTCAGGCATTTGCCAACGTGCAGCATATCTCACCCTACTGGGGAGATATTTGACAACTTATGAAATAATTAGCATACCTCACTCCAGTCCGTTCTCTTCTTAGAAAAGTGGATGAAATCGGTCACAATGATGCAGATGTATTCACTCTTTGACGTCTTCTGAAGCTTGGATGTTTTGATGAGGCATCATCCATTCTCCTCACATACTCCTGTGTCTACTTTCATACCAGTCTTTTCCTAACTACTCGTTCTCCGTATGCTACTGCCATTGTGACTACATCTGAATGTTCCGCTTTCTGTAACGAAATTGACAACTTCTCATAGAATTCATCCTTTGCATCATCCGAACTACGGTCAATGGATGTATAGACCGAGATTACGAATAGGCATCGCCTAGTCGGACTTACCGATCCATTCAGTTGAACATCACATAGATGGCTACTTACTGAAATCCCATGAAGAAGCACACTTTCTGCCCTACGACTCAATCCTATGCTTACACCAGAGAGTTCACGATAGCTAGCTAGCCATTAGGTCTCCGGATACTCTTGAGGTGAATTTCGAAGATTCACTACTATGGCTAGGTGAGGTCAATTTAACAGCCATTCTCGGGTCCTGTACACATGTCTCGGAGACACAGCATACATCCATGGCTAGAGGTACCAGGGTTCTGGCGAGTGATGTCTGTTGTCCGATTTGTCATATAGGGTTCGGACGTTGAAAGTTCCTATAAGAAACTGTAGGCAGGGTCTTGGGAGACTAGGATTGAGGTTTTGACGGCTTTGATCGTTGTCAATGGTTGAAGAGTGAGAGGTTTGGTAAGACATAAAATCCTTAATATTAGTATTAGGAGGTGAAGGCAAAGGAAGAGATAGAGTTGAGGGGATAGGTTGTGTTTGATTGGGTCTTGTGTACTACTGGAAGCGTGCAGACTGCCATGGTCCTTTGGCAGTTTCGAGACTTTGGTTTGTTTGCTTTTAAGGCCCTGATGCGAGCTTCGGCATGCTACTAGGGATTAGGGGTTTTTATTTTTAGGGCCTGTTGGGGAAGACAGCACTAGCGTGGCACTGCTGGTCATCCTGTCACACGCCATCCAGCAGTACGACTTCGCCCCCCATCATAGTGTAGTAATTTACATGACAACCGTTACTGCTCTGTCTTACCACTATCCGAGAGACGTTTCTGACATGGTAAGACCTCGAAATAAGAGGCGTTCCACCAATATAGTTCGTTGGGTCTTTGTGATAAGCGAGCCCGACCACCACCTCAAGGTAGTAGCTGTATGTTGAAATGTGGTTAAGTTGAAAAACATATGGATGATAGGAGATAACTATGACACCACTGTATGAGGTATGTGATTGCTAGTTTGTGATACCTGGAGAAATATGGGCTTTCATATTAGGGTCCACGAGAAGACCAGAAGACCATGTGGTTCAAAATTTATAGTAGTGATTTGAATGAAAGTACTTCCTGTCGTTTTTATCCTTGTATTCTTGTCTGCTCACTTCTATCACGGTGTGATGAGACGTGTGGCAACTGCGAAATGTACAAAATGAAAAGTCCTACGTCTTTATGTGGATCGATTTGAGAAGAACGGACTTCCTGCTAAACAGTATATGGTTTCATCTTACGATGATACCAATCAACGCCCTGAAACCTTAACAGAATTAGCTATCCCTGATAGTAACAAAGTGATCCTAGCTCATATGAGTTCCAAAAAGTATTAAGCTTGGTGTCAATCGCACTCTATAAAATACAGAGTATGTTAGTGAAAAGCTTTCACAAACGTTGAGAATACCGCAAGAAGTAATAAGAAGACTTATTTAGTCAATCTGCTGCATGGGTAATCTGTACTTTAGTAAGATTTCATAGTTGGTAAATACTGATTCACATAAAGAGAATCTTTAAAAAAACTAATTATAGGGAAGCAATAACGTAACTAGTAAGGTGCAGAGCGCAATAACGAGCACATTCATAGATTTAAACAAAACTGTTAGTGGGCTAAGGAAATCTTCCAGGAAGGTATAGAGAACAGAATGCTTCGATGAACCACTTAAGGCCAATGTAAAAAAGAGAATATGTAGCGTAGTGTATTAGTCTGACATTCAGTAAGCAAAAAAGAGAGTCTAAAAATGTCGAAATGTTCTCAGTAACCTTGTGCACATTCTTACAGTAAGCAATGAGCCACGCTAATTGTGTGAGGGCTAATGATACTACCTGGTTGCCCAAACGGTTTTCGACGCGTTGGAGACAATGAAAAGACCTTAGCAGAAACAACCAATCACACACATGGCCATTAGGACAATCTACCAAATAAATTGTGGAGAAAACCTTATAGCTCACTTTTTTATGAAGTTCATGTTGATGTCGTCTAGAATGACAATGAAAGCTCCACGAATAAAGCATCCGGCTCAGATAATTACCCTCCTAAGCCCAAATATTCTACATCATCTTAAAGTCAACTATCTAAACCGGTGAGCCACACTGGACAAAAGTAAGTGTACTGAAGTGTTCCCCCTAATGTCAAATGCGTGAAAACTGTTACACACATTGGGAACCAACAACCATACTACCAACCAGATTTATCATTGCTTCTAAGTTCTCGGTATTACTGTGTTTTAGACACTAGACGAGATAAATGGATCCAAAGTTCAAAATCTGCTCCACCTACTGTCTGGACAACTGGCTACTATCACCAACCCCCATACAATAAGTAAGTCTCAGCTTCGTACAAAAACATATGTACCGGACTGAGTGCCACTTTTTAAATTAATTACCCTTGAAAACTCGAATTACTTTAAGATAGAGTGTTTGCATATTGATAATCACACACATTATTTCTGTCAATCATAAATTGAGTGACAAACCTAAGTATTCGCAAAAAAACAACTCACATTAATAAATGGGACACCCATTAGGCTGAGAAGTTGCCTGCAATCTTCGTTGTGCGCTGGTGTAACTTTGACTAAACGCTTGGAAAACTTTTCAATAGCTTCTAAATCTTCTTCAGCTTCTGCTTTTGCCAACTCCTTGGATGATTCAACACGTCTATCTGCACGTTTGGCTAATTCTCCCGCCTTCATTGAAGGAGGTTTGCCTTCAAAAACGTACACAGGTTTAATTCCATTTTCAATCATCCTTATTGTCCTGTAAAACATGCCCATTAAATGGCTAAAAATGAAAAGATTAACAGGTGTTTAGCCAGGTAGGTATGAAAAAACATCTCACTTTATGTAATCTATGCACTGAATTTTGCTTCAACTCACAAAACTGACATCGTTAGATAGAGAACATAGCTAATCTGGAGGAAATATGGAATAACTAGAGCAGAAATCAGAGAGGCGACTACATTCACATAATGTGGTAATTTAAGATAAGTTTTCTGAAAACTCTCCAAAGGTAAAAAGCCATGGAGATTATCTCAACACTTCACCAGCTTGATGTACTCCACATTGCCGACAGTAACGAGTACAAAAACATAAGGAGACTTTGGTTCAGAAAGGCCGTTGGAAATTTGTTCAACCCTTGGTAAATCCTACTACCTGAGATCGAAACCTCGCTGAAAGTATTCTCTATCAGTATATCGTACTCCTTGAGTGTCCGTATCGCACTTTATTAGTAAAATATAGTTGGATGAGCATGATGATGGCAATAAGACTGAAACACATCACACGAATCAAAGAAGATACAATTTAAACAAAGAGATATCATAGTTTTTTGTTCTAGCTAAGCCAGCGAACACCATATACCACTCTTAATATTATCGTTATCGACTAGATACTATGATTTAGTTGAGTGTTACCAGTGGTACAAACAAATATTTTATTTGGAATTTTTGAAACACAATTTTTCACTACTACCACCATTTTGTATCTCTGTATTTCTTCGACCAGGCCAAGTTAACTACTGGAAATGATGGATTAGTATACACGCGTGAATAAAATTTGAATGTAAATGTACCACTAAAATAAATTTCAAACTAAATTTGATAAGTTATTTGGTCCATATCACAGAAAAAGGCAACCTAAATAGGTGGCATCAACACTAATTTTGATATATTTGCATCCTGTTTTGACCAAGCCTACTTCATAATTTCTCCATTTCAATGCTAACTGGGTTACCTTGTATATGTAGGATAGGGATATTTTAGTTCTACTAATAATAGTAAGATCTAAAGAATATTCGTGTGTAAGCAAAGTAAAACACACAAACAGTCACTTACTATTTATCATGAACAAGCAAACAGACCACAAAGTATAATGTTATATTCCGTAGACACCCTTTTATGTATGCTGACCGCCTATCAAACGGTAACTGATGTAGCTTCCAATTCCATAGCGCTTAGCGCTGGAGTTTATCAACTACGTTACCTATATAGAACTAAGCTAAATGATGCGATAAAGATGTGTATCGTAGTTTGACATCAGGAATCAATAGACGGGAAGTCCCAGATCTCAGTTTCGTGCTTTACAAAATTTACTGGCAAGGTATGCTTGTAAAAATACGTAAACTATTGTTTCATGCGTGAATCAAACCTGCAACTTATCAACAAGCTATTCAGGTCATGGAAGACCATCTGTTATCGACTCAGACCTAAATCAAAGTGGGACAGAACGACCTTGTAGTGAGATTGGAAAACGATTTTAAGGTTACCGATCTGAAACTAATAGTCACACCAAATGAGGGATAAGACAGATTATAAACATATGAGAGGGTTCTTTACCACTGGTCTTGTGGGTATTGACCAATCCAGTTTCAAATAAAGCAGATAAAATTACAACTTCAAAAATCATGAAGTGAATAAACACCTTACGTAAAATGTAGGCCCTGAAACAGTAAATCAAACAAAACTTGACAGATTTTGTGTAAACAGAAGATTACCGAGTAGATCACTTTTCTTTACTTACCGGAGCCCCATGATAGATGTAGATGGGGTGTTCGACATGATTATGACCAATAAATCCTGACCGGAACCTTATCCAGCAATTAATAATTTACCACTGTATGTGATGCTGAAGAAAGAAGCTAATGTGGAATTTATCCAGTTTACTCGTTGTCATATCCAAACATCATCTTGAGTTTTATGACTGCTCGAAAAAATGTTCAGTCATACCGTTTTCATCATTCCGATCGCAACTAGCACTATTCACTAGATAATTCGCACCTTTGTCAAGCTACCAAAATTGCTTCCCAGTCTACCTTAACCCAGATCTTTTAACTTCAACCACCATGCATCAAAATCAGTTTGCCAACCGAAAAGCTGAAACATGAGGATTCGATAACTGCTGATCTTAGTTTAATATAGGCTTTCTGTTAAGAATCCCAAAAATGAGGAACCAGCGGTTTAAAACGATCCTTAGAATTCAACAGTTAAACACACTTATCGTGTGATATCACAACCTGATTGCCCACATATCACTAAGTATAATGAGCACCGGGCACGTGACTCACCGCTTGAAAGCTGTCTAGACCAATGAGCGACAACCCTATAAATTTGATCGTGTGATACATATATGCTAGAAGTCTACGTTTTTGTGTTGGTAGACAATGAAATAGAGGTTGGATTGTGAAATAAAGGGCATTCAAAACTATGCAGTAATTTTACTTACGTTACGGAAATGAGCACGAAACTAACCTGGTAGACTCTCCTTCTGCATTTGTGAGTGTGTTGCCTTCTTGTCTAACAGCGATGAGAAACTGATAAATAGACATAGAAGCGTCAATTGCCACTTTCCTCCCTATCAAAAAAGTCGTTTAAAGGAAGCACATAAGTAGTTCAAACCAAAATATGATTTCATTTCGCAGCTTTTAACCGCTTTTTGTGCATTGTCACCGATAACTTTACTCAGCTGATGAACTCCCATATCTACACCGAACAATCTATAAGAACGACTTTGAAATAAAAGAGCTCCAAGAGCCGCCCAAAGGTAAAATTATGACTCCTGACAGAAACCAAGGTAGTCCGGGGCTAGTGAATTTAATCCGTCGATGATTTCTGAGATTCCCTAAGGTGAAAAGAGAAAATTGAAAAGCAATCGGAGTCATCAAGCAATGAAATATAATTCTGTAGTAATCTCAATTCAGGAACCAAATAAAAAAAAGCCGGATAGTTTAAACAGCAAAGATGTACTAGAAGTAATATCTGTTGTTTTCAAACTACACACCATAAATGTAGAATCCATTAATGCGAGCAGTTGTAACGTACATGATTAAGTTTATCCTTCCAACTATTTCCCTGCTTTCATCCTGTTACCCAGCATAAATGTAAAACGATCTATATATCGCTTTGAGATACTTGCTGAAACCTAACAACTGAATATTCACCACTCACTTGTCTTAGCCTCTAGAGTGGATGAGAAGCGAAATGTAAGTAAGCGGATGCAAGACGAATATCGAACAATTTAGCCAATCAATATCACATTAATGATGGATAGTAGCTGGGAGCCCTAATACATTTACCAACATGATCGATATTACAGTTTATACAGTGTAGCGTCATACACTTCCCCAAAATCAATAGCTATGTGTGTGCCAACCATTTTTTTTTTTGTCTTTTTTTCGAGGCACTATTTTTCTTATTTACCGGCACAAACCCTCGTACATTTTGCCTTTTTATATCAATTTTTATTTACCATGTAATAAAAACTAAAAAAACCGGCGACGATAAGCGTAAATTTTTATTTTTCGATATGTTTATATATAAATAATTCCCATTTTTACGCAACGTTTTCGTGGTATTAAAGACTTTTATTTATATTCCAGGTGCAACGAGCACTGGACGGAACGTCGAAAGGAACAGATGACCGCGACCGACGTACAATTTCATTTATTGTATTTTATTTATTTAATCGCCACGACACTTTAGAATAAGGTTCAGACAACCAGGGGCCACCTCACGCAGTGAGCCCATCGGGAGAGTTTTACCAGTGGAGAAACCACTGGGTTTTTACTTCCGGCTGGTATCGTCTTAGGGTCCTCACGAACCCACTAGGGGGGAGTGATCTGTAGCGTCATACACTTCCCCAAAATCAATAGCCTAGGGTTTGACGACTTCGACATTGATGCTGACCTTGATAGTTTAACTGGACTCGCTAAGCTGAAGGCACCCGGTCAAGCATCCTCGCCATTTGGCACGCTGTCGTGTTGCGTTGCATTGCTCGTATTCGACTCTCTAGCCAGTTAGTTGGAACGCATCGGTATTTTGGCATAACCATCCAAATATACTATTCCATCCGACTACGCTATCGTGTTCTTCCTTGGTCTCGTATTCGTGGGTATATAACAAGTTCGAATAATTAGTGATTGGTCTTTGCGTCTGTCAAGTTCGCACCAGGACAAATCCTAAAACAGCAACTGACTCATAAACAACGTAGTGCAAATGAAGATGACATAAATTATTTATCATATGGAATGACACTTCAACCTTACCTTGAACTTTCCAGAAATGTAATTATCGAAAAAAATGCAGCAATGCATACAAGATTATCGTAAGTCGGTTATGACAAAATCACGAGATGTCTGGAGTTGCGGCTCACTGGTTTAGGCTATTAACTTTCAACCAGTGGGTCACGGGTCTGAACACTGCTTCACTTGCCAGGGTTTGGGCACATAATATCCTTGGTTTATTGCCTACTGCAGGGAAGCACACAAAGTTCCTGCGTGCTTCGACTTTTCCTTGACTGAATGCGTAATAATATAAATATTCCGGCAAACGTAAGATAAGTCAATCAACGAAGTTTAAGACCAATCTGGGCAATTGTGTTGTTGTGTATAACTACACATCGTCTACCATAATTCAGTGCTGAAAAAGTAAGATGGAAGGAACCTCAGTGGCATAATTGTTAGAGTATGTCAGTCAAATCCGATACTGTTCCGCTTCACATAGGAAACTGATCACACGTGCCCGAAGTGAGGTCTGTGACACCCTGCACCAGGGGCTGAAAACTAAGGATATAATTCAAAGGGTCAGTAGTAATAGAAACAAGCCATCACTTTATGTCTCATTAAAATATGGCCACCTCACTCTTCGCCTTAAATTGCCTACACGGTTTTACTTACCTATTTCAAGTTATCTCTATCCTCCTGAATCTACTAGTAGAAATTTTCTCCCCCTCCTACAATGCAGTACTTTAGATAGAAACGCGTATGTAGAGAAACAAACATCATAACGCTCGCAAAGCAGTTGACCGGATCGCGTTTAGGAATATAGGTCTCCAAGGCCTACTTTGCTACAGCAAACATCTTGGAAGTTCGAGGGGAACGGTAACGTGAAATGAAAAGCCCTTGTTAGAGACTATATTAAACTATTGTCAAGTCGTTTCTAGCAAATTCATATGGAAATAATACGGAGCAAGGGGTTCGGAAGGTACGGTGCAAGTATCATTTCCTACGTATCGATCCCAAATGTGGGATTTAAAGGAAACGTGACGCATGTTGACACAGGAAGGAGTTTGAAGCTACGTCGTAGGAAATAAATGGTTCTAGAGGTTGGGGTGACTTTGAGTAACCAGGCAGCTACTCACGATTACCGTTTGGAGTCACTTGATCGTAGATATATATAATCCGTCTCACCATTTGTGGATACGAAGTATTTGACAGCAGTCGCTTGACATAATAACACTGAATCAATAATAATTTCGAATTAACACAGGTGTACTTTGGAAGTTTTTGGTGAAATCCCTTAAAATCGCTGGGGTGCACCCAGTGATGGGTAACATCCCCCAAAACGAGATTTTCCCCAAAAAGTTAAAAGTTCTTAAGTGTGCTGGAAGTCCCCAGTCTCGGCATTACACCTGAAGTTCGTGAGGAAGTGTTTGATTTTGATTTAAAGCTATATTTTGGGAAAATTTTCGATGTAGCAATCCGTTTTTTTATACGATAATTGCATGCTGAAGAAAACTTACAGAGCATATGCTCTGTAAATTGCTCTGGAAAACATTTTCCACAGAGAAGAGGGAACCTTAAGCCACTTCCCTCAAATGGAAAATGTGCTCACATTGGCATTAGGACAATCGGAGGAAAAAGAATTAAAAGCAAAACATTACGACAGACTATAAAGTTTAAACTTTATTGTTCATAATATGTTATGGTAGCAATTGTTACACTAATGTAACTTAGATCACATTCCACGATAAGGAGGATACATAGATTTCCTCTTAAAACACGTGGAGTTTTTAGTGAGCGACCACCTCGAAATATAATTGTCTCCCAGCTATAACTAGAAAGCTAGAAGTATGGAATCCATTTTTAGTTGATTTGTTAGATGATTCCCACGGTGGAAAGGTATTATCAACTGGATTACGTTCCCACTGTGAGATAGACTTATAAACAAATTATGGTGAAACTACAATCTACACAATGCTCAAGTTGTACTCTTAAATTAATGGAAAAACTGTAATTTCGAAGTCCCGCCAACAACACCTACTCTTGAAAGGCAGAGTCAGCGGGTTGTCATAAGTAAACTAAGTTAAACCGAAAAACAAAATGATCAAAGAGAATCATGAATTCCCAGCAATAAATCATCAGCGAGATTCATGAAATAGGAACTATCCAGAGTTAACATGTTCGGATTTGAAACGTCCAAGCATTTTCAAGCAATGAAGACTGGCTACACAACTTAAACGGAAGGCAAATTCTCATACTGAATGATAAAGAAACTCGACATAACAGTGAGAGAGAATTTCTCTATAATTTTTCCAATGTGTCCTTTCTTGGTCTCTCACTCACTGGAATCACGCGCTGTTCGAAAAACGGGAGTGATCGTTAACGTTCTGTTAGATTCTTGGCATTTTTTGTGTTTACACATCAAAGGCTGTTGTATGTTTGCTCTGATCAGAATATTATTTTACTAAAGTGACGCAGAAACTTTTACTGGGTGAATTTCTGTAGTTTCTGCTAACTGGCTAGCCAAGTGTCGTAAAAGTGCTCGTGGTAGAACCGGGTGCCAAGGTGTAGTGAATGTAAGAGTTGGTTCCACGATAACTGCACAAGCCTCACACCCTCAGCCTATAAGACGTACACCAACGTAGGAAGTGTGGTTCTGCTTCTGCTCGGAAACAAAAACACTTCTAAATACGGTAAAGAAGAAACTGGTGTCAAAAGTCAAAGTCGATAACTGTGATAGTGATAACGACGCAGCATTCATTGGCACAAAGATTACTGTGCAAAATTTAAAGTACGTCCGACGACAACCTGTAAGTTGAAGCGTAGGCTACCTACTAGGTTTGGTGACAGCGACTTGTAAAAAACTACACCAAGAGGGCAAAACAAGTGTCTTCTGGTTCCCACATCCCCAGAGCTGGCGGATTCAGTCTGAAAACTGCTGACCGTAAGAATAGGTCTACTTCGGATGAAAGAAACAGGAGTGACGGACTCTCAGTGCCAACCACGAAGTCATGCTGGTCGCTGGTCGGAACCAGTTGGGAGATGCAAGTTCATCCTGAGGCTCTTGGTGTCAGGGTCAGTGGGCCAGGCATACCCGGCTCTGAGAAATTGCAAGTAATCGAGTCTAAACGACATGATAAGAAGCCAATAACGGTCATCGAGCCAGTTGTCATCACCCCACACAGCAAAGACAAAGTGATGCTCTTTGACAGGTCTGCAATCTTCCACAGAGTGGAAGAAGATAGAGATCCAGAACCATATAGACGTTTTGAACATAGCCTTGGGAAGGTACAAAGTTTGAAAAACCAGGTTTCACCGGAAAACACTGAGGGTCCCCCTACTCAAGGTGTATAGAGCAGGTAAAAAGGAGACAATCCCTCCTGAAAATAAGTTCCGGCTACCTAAAGTCGTATTCAGATCAGCAGATGAGAGGGATCAGATTCTCATGAATGCTCACAAGCTGTAAGGATCCAGGGTGTTCGTGCGAAAGGATCTGGCTCTTGCTGATCGAATCAAAAAGCGAGAAGCAGAAGCAGAACTGAAGTATAGATTTGCAGTGGGTTTCCTCGTTGTGAGGTTTCAGCAACAAATGATGCAGAAGCCTCTATGGATAGGACGGTAACTCATTGAAGTGGTATCGTTGCCTTGCACAAAAATACACATAGTCCTTCAAAAAAGGGTGAAAAGCAGCGAAAGCCCTGACATGACTGCCATCTCAGAAACTTCGCTCTCTTCTTGGGTCAGTGACTGTGAAACACACTTACGAGGATTCGTCCCTTTCAGGAGTGACAGGTCAAAGCGCGAAGGTGGTTTTATCCTGTACATTAAGAATACCTTAACTGCAAAAGCCATAGAAGCAGCTGCACGCGAAAGTGGGACATTTGAAATGCTGCGCTGCCGACCAAAATGCAAGGGACAAGATGTTAACGTAATCATGACATGGTGAAGCCCTGAATATGAGACAGCGGACTTTCTCCTGAATAACCTGACCCTCTAGACAGATAAGTGTGGATACCTAGTTGTTGGAGACCTCAACGCACCATTAGTTGACTGGGATGGACTAACAACAAAAGCGCCACGTAATTCGTTTGATCACAGGTTAGTGGAAACATCAATTTCTTTTGCCCACACAGCACATTAGGACACTAACCAGAAATGATCATCAGAATGCTCCATCGATTGTAGACTTAACGTTCTCACGTACAGGTGATGTATGCTTCATACAGCACCTAGCACGCCCCAACAAAAGTGATCACATTATGATCACCCAAAGATTACCAGCAGACGTCTTGTACCAGGCTGATACCCCAGCTAGACCCAAAATACAGAAAGCGGATATGGGAGCTGGTAACCTGGCAGCTTCTTCGGAGGACTGGACAGTCAATCTAGAAGCCTCAGTTGAAGGTGCATGGTGTCCCTTCAAACAGACATATGCACGAGTGACCCAACCGTTCATTCCGTGGACTGTCCTGAGGGGACGGAAATACTGCCATCCATGGATAGCCACAAAATCAGAATATTGCTACGGCTCAAGAAAAAGTGTTGGAGTCTTACCCCCCACCTCGGTTCATACGAAGTGGTGGAGTACTACAAAGAAGCCCGAAACAAATGGATCACTGTTATCCACCGGTCTCGAATGCCTTTTGAAACACGTCTTGCCCAGGCCGAATTCCAACATCCGTCGAGATTGTTTTCCGATATGAACCATAGAAATAAGATGTGTCGTGGCATACCCGCCCTAATCCAAGTGACAGAACTGGCTGTTTGTTTGAGGACGATGGAGAAGAACCAGAAGCTATGGCTGGATATTTTACTGAGGTCTCTACACAGTAATCTTCCGTGGACATACCCACCAGTAGCAGCACTAACATCCGACAGGATAATCTCTGTAGGTATCGATCGCAATAATGTATTTCGGATATTAGGCAATCTTGACGTTGAAACATCAACCGGAGCAGATGAGCCGCACCCAAGGCTGCTCGACAGCTTGCACTCTATGTAGCCGGCGCACCGACTACTACATTTAGACTGCCTCTCAGTGAAGGCACACTCCCCTATGGCTGGAAGAATGTCATAGTAACACCTATCCACAAGACAGGTACCAGGCAGCTTCAATCAAATTTCGGGCCGATAAGTTTGACCAGTACTGTAGTGAAAATACTAGAGAGACAGTAGCCAAGCAATCCATCACACTTGACCTAAAGAGCAACACTCCACTGTCTCATTTGCAGCATGACTTTCGAAGGGATTTCTCTTGCTTGACGAACCTTACAGTCAGAGGGAGTTGGGTTAAGTCTAAAGGTGATAGGATACCTGTAAATGTTATTCTCAAGGGCTTTAGTAAGGGTTCGGCCTGTTGCTCGTGAAACTGGAAAGTATTGGAACCACTGGCAGCCTGATTGCATGGATAAGGGGGTTCTCCGTTGGTAAGCGATAAAGAGTAAGGATCAGTTCTCTGCTCTTCGCTTGGGAGTCGGTAGAGAGGTGAGTGCCACAAGGCACAGTTCTGAGCCCCCTACTGCTATCCCTTTATGTAAATGAGCTGCCAATTATCACGAAATCCCCCATGGTTCTACACGCTGATGGTGCAAAACTGCGATGGGAAATTAGGTAGGATGAGGATATGCGTGCTTCTCAGGCAGGCTCTAACAGCTTGTTCACCTGGTCAGAGAAGTGGCTGATGTCCATCAACTCAGGTAAGTTCATCAGCATACACTTGAAACCCACACACACCGACATCTATGATATCGATGGGATTCCCCTACCGTCATCACCGGCCCACAATGACCTACGAGTCACAGTGGGTCATGGCTCGTAAACCTTGGCTCACTGACGATTGGTGGCAGCTCAGAGTTTTAGGATTCTCTGGGCATTGCGTAAGACGTTTACGAGAGTAAATAGTGATATGTTCATTATCTTATACACATCCTTAGTTATGTCTAAATTGGAAAACTGTACACAGGTGGCTAATCCTTGTCTGAAAGGTGACGCAGACAGTCTAGAAAGCGTTCAGAGGGCAGCCACCCATATGATCCCTGCGATGGCTGGCCTCACCTATGAAGACCGACTCAAGGAGCTGAACCTCTTCACTTTGTCCTACCGCAGATAGAGGGGAGTCCTAATCATGCTATTCACGATTCTAAGAAATGACTTCGGACCTGATCTATTCTCTCTTTTCCTTCCCACTGGGTCGGAACACCTCGGAGGACATAGTGGGAGACTACAGAAGTGAAGAACGAACATAGTCTCCACAGAGTACTGGTTTTCGCGTCAAGTAATCAACAGCAGAAACCGACCTTCAGAAGATGAGGTGTCCGTATCATCAGTTGGCTCGTCCAAAAGTGGATTGGACAAGCACAGAAATCTGCTGGAAAAGGATTAATATAGGCCCCCAGCCTCCTATCCTCAAACGACAAATCTGAACCTGTAGGTACATTACAGATAGGAATAGCTTTTGGTTGACTTATGCACCCGTAAAGTCCGCCAGGACCAACTCCTGATTTGGTGAGCCTTTTCTTTTTCTTGCTTGTGCGGTTTCTTTTCGCACTTACGGACGGTCTCCTAGACTTGTATCCATGAAGCCGTAGACGCACCATATCCATCTCATGCCACATTTGACCTGAAAACTCAGGTACATGGTTTTTGCACACCGAAGTAGACTTTCGAGTGGAAAGCGTTATAGTCCCTTCTTCTTGACCGCTTGCGTCGTGCTGTCATTACCTCAGGAATTGGACAGGCAGGTTGCAGAGTGTGTGTTGAACCCCGAAGTAAGTGATCCACGGATCCCTGGAGGAAGGCGATCCCAAGGATTGTCAGCGCCTAGACGAACTGCTGCGTAACATCAAACTAATGAACGGCGCAGGTACTCCAGTGCTGTCATGCATCCAAGAAGTCACTGGACAATAAACTCTGAATGATGGCCCTTCCCGTTATTTCACTCTCAAAACCGGTACGGCTGGTTGCAGGCAGTGGTGCTGGCACTTCAGTCGGTTGCTATCGATGACGTGGTGGCCGATCAAGTACTAGAGAGCTCTCATAAACCCATCAGCGTACATTCT